CGACAAAGAAGGGCTGGCCTAACTTGTGACTGATAAGTGTTCAAACAGTCAGATTCCAATCTGTGCTTGTGGCATTTAGCTACCAAAAAACCTAAGACGGGGGGGGGGGACGACACTTCCCTGTTTTATTTGGGAAGTGGGACTTCCCAAATAAAACAGTGGCTGCATCCAACTTTATATTCAGTTTGTGGCTAAAGCACATTCACAAAAAACACATCAGAATCCTACTTCTGTTATAACAGCGAGATCTTTCACTCCATCCCAGTCTGATTCATAGATGTCGCTCAGCGTCTGGGATAGCCGCTTAGATGTCTCATGCATGCCTGCAAAAAGGAAGAAAAAAAAAAAAGAAAGCTTAAAATGTAGTCATGACTCCATGGGAAAAAGCCCATCTACCTTCTTGTAGCACCACGGTGGTATTGTTTCTAAATGTTTCTGGTGCTGCTGCTGCACCCACATTACAAAGGCCAAAACAACACTAGTTTCCTGACTGGAGCTCACAATGCAGGCGCAAAAGCTGACAACATGAAAAACAACGGTTTCTCATACATGACTCACATATGCGATGCTGCGTCTGCTTTTTTTTTTTTTTTTAAGGCGGGATCAGGGATCTTTACAACTTGGTAACGCAGACAGGATTGCAAAAGTCTCCCACAAAAAAATAGAAGAATTTCGCTTCCCTAGTTTTCAACTTCTCCCCTCAGCTCAGACTGGGGATTCAATCCATGCTTTGCAAACCCACCTTTCACTGCTGCATAGTAGGCTTTGACATCTTTAAACAACCTGCTTCCGTCGATCTGCGTGCAGGAAGAAAGGAGAAAAGTTCAATTCAGTGACGTCCAGTAACAGTTGGACAATATAAGAAAATGGTGCTGCATCATTTCCTTGACATCAGTGTGCTTCAGCTGGACTGCAGGCTGTTAGTTTGCTGTGAAACTCTCTCTGCATCAGTTTGCTTGAGATCGCAGCTCCTTGCAGTCTCACCACAACTTGGAGTTTAAATTAAATGACAATCACAATATCTTGTGTGGCTTTTGTGAAGTGAAAGCAGCATGGAGTGTCAGTGGGTAGACTTCCTTCCTGTTGCTCTTCGGCAACTTCCCTGCAGTATGTAGTGTAGTTGTTTGCCACTCGGTGAACTTAAAAACTGAGCAACAGAAGCCTAACAGCAGCAGCGATTACAGTATTAATACAGTAACATGCAGTACAGATCACCAGTACGCAACAATAAATGAAGGCATTTCGTTACTTTTGAAATGAAAGTGGTTTTACTTCCTCTTTTCTAAATTTTAAATAGTCTACATTTAGAGCTGTTCAGAAAGGCCAGTCTGAGGCTTTCGGTTCGTCAGCCTGTAAAAACCCTTCTTAAATGACAGCTCTTTCACAATTTAGGGTAATGCCGCACACAGATCTCTAGGGGAGACATAGTAAGTGGTATTTACACAGAACAGATAAGAAAATAGGCAGGAGCTCCGTCTTGAATTTCCTGTTTTCAAGGCCAGGATGATTGCCTGAACTTGTGAGTTGGCACGTCAGTGCGGGAGGAAAAAGACACAAAACACTTTTTGTCCCTGTTGCAATTATGTGAAGAATTTTGGTAAAGGGAAACAAATGAGCCTC